TGCCACAACACCACAACAAAAAATCTGAGTATAACTTCACCACCAGTGCAAAGAACCTTTTTTTTTATATCCAATCCCAGTTTAGACGATGAAAATTTAAATATTTTTAGCAAATATCACTGTTTTAGAAGAATCAATGACATATAATGAAGCAAAACAATCGAAGGAATGGGTAGAAGCAATGAGAACAGAGATATCAATATTGAAAAATAATCAGACGTGGTCTTTGATAACTCTACCTCCTAAGAAATCTACCATTGTTTGCAGATGAGTTTATAAGTTAAAGTTGAAACTTGATGGAACAATAGAAAGGTACAAGACAAGATTTGTTGCAAAAGGATATCACCAAATAGAAGGGATAGATTATGTTGACAGTTTCTTACCAGTAGCTAAAGTGGTAACAGCCATAATCCTAATTGCTTTTGCAGTAACAAAACAATGGCTACTACACCAATTGAATGTAAATAATGTATTTCTTCATGGGTATTTGAACGAAGAAGTATATATGGAATCCCCTGAAGGATATGAAAAGGCAAAGAATGAGAAGTATGTAAACTTCAAAGGTTCCTTTACAGTCTAAAGCAAGCTTCCATATAATGGAACTCAGAACTTTTCCCATTTTCTGATTCAATATGGGTTCCAATAATCAAGTCATGATCATTGTCTCTTTATCTATCAAAAAGATCAACACTTTATGACCTTATTAGTCTATGTAGATGATTTGCTCATTACTGGAAATTCAAAGGAAGAGACTACAAGACTAAAAAGTGCATTGGATGACCAGTTTACAATCAAAGATATATGAGCTGTTAAGTACTTCCTAGGGCTGGAATTGATGTCAACCAAAGAAAATACATATTAGACATATTCAAAGATGTCAGCTTTCTAGGAACAAATCCAAAACTCATTCTATTCCCAAAAGGACAACAAATTCACTCCAAATATTCACCATTGCTAAATAACCCTCAACAATATAGGAGCATTGTGGGCAGATTGTTATAAATGAGATTCACTCGGCCAGATTTCGGATACTTAATTCAACAACTAAGTCAACATGTACAAGCTCCAAGACAAGTTCACTTGTAGATAGCACACCATGTTCTAAAATACCTAAAATAGAAAATATTTTTAGGGATATTTTTCCCAAAACAAAACAATTTTAAAATCACAGTTGTGATTCAGATTGGGGGACATGTTCGAAAACTAGAAAATCTCTCACTGGATATTGTGTATATCTAAAATCATCACCAATCTCATGGAAAGCAAAAAAATAAAATATTGTCAACAGAAGTTCATCTGAGGTAGAATACAGGTCAATGGTTATGACAGTATGTGAGTTGCAATATGTTATGTATATTCTTCAACACTTGAGGGTAGATTACTCTTTATCAATCAATTTCAAATGTGACAACAAGGCAGCAATGCATATAGTTGCAAACCTAGTATTCCATGAGAGAGTAAAATATTTAGACATTGGCTACCATGTAGTCATGACAAAGATCAACGAGGGGATTGTTGCACTAACTTATGTCAACTCAGCTACCCAAGTAGTGGATATATTCACTAAATCTCTTTCCTCTTCAACTTTTCAGAATCCACGTTCTTAGTTGGTTTTGACAGACGTTCACCAAAGTCCAACTTGAAGGAGAGATATTATGACAATTAGGTAGTTGACTTATGTTTAACTTCTGTTATTCTATTAAATAGTTAGTTAGTGCTTTTTTTATTATGTTAAATATAGTGTTGAATTTATTAAACTTGTTAAACTGTTTTGTACTAGTAAAAAGACATACGTATAAATAGCATATAGATGCAATCTTATTTAGTCGATTAATTCTCTTGTAAGTAAAGGAGGAGTTTTTATCCGTCCCTCAGAAGAAGAAATTTTTTTTCTCTACTTACACACTTCCGTTTCTTCCAAATTTCACCTGTGTTCAAAATCCTTGGTAAGAATATTGTTTGGTTTTCATTTCCAAATCATTTGTATGCATTTCTGAAAATAGTTGTGTACTTGTGAAAGTGTTAAAATATAAACAAAATAGTTTGCTAGAGAAACACACAAAGTAACATTTTAGAAAAGTATAATTTAATTATATTTTTACTATTGTTCTATTCATTGTTAAATAGCTCATATGATTTTGTGAATAGAATATAAATAAATTTATGCACCAAATGAAATTTATTAATTATATTAAAAATTAACAAAAATTACTATAATACTATTAATATTTTATTATGTATTTAGAAGTTAGTTAACTATAAATTAGTGACTGCTTATTTTTGGCAGTGGTAGTTTAATTTAAACAGTCATGAATTAGTGGCAACTTAAAATTATAATAATAAAATTATATTTCTAATTATCAATAGAAGAATTACAAAAATATTTAAACCAAATTGAATAGCAAGCTGATTCATAATTAAAATATCATTTTCATTCGAAACTTTATTTATTTATTTATATTTTATTCTCATTATATTTTTCAAAATTAAAATATAAGCTAAATTTATTACCATTTTGATTTAAATTTAACTCTAATTAAATCTGTATTGTACTCGTTATCAGTTAAATCAAATGGTTGTGAGGATAAATTACTATAAAAATAAACAAACATATTAATCTCAAAACCACAGTTAACCAAAAATCTTTAAAAAAGGTTTTAAGTATAAAAATAAATTTTTTTTTAATAAAAATTCTAGAATATTTGTATGAATAAATTTTTTTTCACTTTATATTTACACATGCAATTAGGTGATGTTAAAAAATAATTAATATTTATTTTTCGTATTTATGACGTTATTTTTATTTTTAACTATAAAAATAAATATTTTTCTGTAAAAATATTTAAAAAATTTAAAAATCATTTTCTTATTTACCAGCTACAAACCTACCGTTTCAACCCTATCATGGATGCGCGACCGAAATATTTAAAACGCGCCCGACGCGCGTGGGGTACAAATCCAAAACTGGTGTAACGTGACTACATCAAAACAAATGGCAAAGTCGTTATGTCCGTTAGAGGCTTAGAGCTCTCCGGAAGCAGCTTCACACGCTTCGTCAGCGTGTTCCTAGTTGAACTCTGACGTGGCTTAATATTATTGGAAAATTACTGTACCTAAATCACAGGCATGTCACGCTAAACACGAGAAGCAGCCGTAAAAGTTTCAACTCCCATTTTATACATTTATCAAAAATAAAATAAGAAAAGAATCCGACTTCTTAATAAATTCATATGAAAAGAACAGGACTCCCAGTTCTCTCTCTCTCTCTCTCTCGATTGAAGTCGACAGCTAAAGTTCGTCTCTCACAAGGTCTTCTCATCATTTCAGCTTATTTCTTCAATTGCATACCAAAAGAAGGTAAAGCTCTCTTGCTCTTTCTATCTCATGAAATTTAGGGCTGCGTAAGGATTGCTTTGATTTGTTATGCGCAGGCGTAATTATTTGTTCGTGTGTTGATTCTGATCCATTATACATATATATATATATATATTCTTTTTAGTATCTTCATAAGATTTTCTTAGTGCTATCGGTGTTCCTTCAGCGCGTTTTTATTGGGTTGCGCAGAAAACATATGCAACGAATTAAAGGAAACCTTTTCCGCTTTTAGCTATCATGTCATGTTACTGATCGTGGTCTTCTAATTTCTTGCTCTTTGGTTGGATTTTTTTCTATACAAATAGATAAGTTCTGGAATTTGAATTCTCGTAATTTTTCTTGTTTATCCTATTTCTTTTTATAGATATACTATTATTAGAAACTTGAACTTTGCATTTTTTGGGGTCCCTTGTTAGTTATGTGCACTTCGGTTGTGTTTGAAAGTGATTTTATCTGAATTTAGAAAAACTGAATTATGGGACTGGTAGGTGATAGCTTTAGGCCTTTGTTTGCTTTCTGAGAAATTAAAGTTGAGCAGAAAAGAATTTGAATGATTACGTGTGACCATCAAGTACCTAATACAAAATATTGCACGTTTTTATTGTTTATTTTTCGTATCTATTTATCTTTTGCTTTTTAGTTTTACCATTTGGGTTATTGTCAAAGTTGTTTTCAGCTCTAGTCTTCTGATTTGTGATTATGTGAGAGGTTGCATAAAGGTATACACTAGTTAGTGTTTGTATTGGGAAAAATGAATTGGCCATTCATGGAAAAAAAACTAAAGAAAATGAACCCAATCACCCAAATCTTATATATGTAAGGCACTTACGGCTGGTTTGATTCAGGTTCCATTTAATTCTTACCTTATTCCTACACTTACTTATACCACTGATCTTAATATGTAGCCTTGCATCATAATTCTCATTTTTGGTTCACCTTCACTTTTTTCTTGAATTCTTGGTATTGAGTTTCTAATTTCTACTTCAAGAAAAAGGTAAGAATTTACCCTCTCCAAGAGATTCAATTGGGAGTATATGTAACATAAAACTGTGATGTAGTTTTATCTATTAAGATTAGTTTAGTAGTTAAAGATAGGGCTTAAGCTAACCTGCCTTTAAAGTGTGTAATCTGTTTCAATTGAGGGAGGGATAGCTGTTGATTCTTATTTCGGGAGGATGCTGGGAGGATCTCTCTTAATCGTTTCTTCGCTTTTATAGGCTCTCCTCGTGTCTTATAAGAATCCTATCATCTCAGTTTTTCTACCCTTCAACGATTTTTTTAGAGGAACTTGGCCTCTAGAATCTTTGAGTTTATTTTCTTGTAAATCCTCTTTCACCCGCTTGATTCGAAAGCCTGCTACTACTAACTGGATTTCTGCTATTAATCTGGTTTCTACTAATCCTTTTTGAAAAGTGAAAGTTCCTATATAGGTCAAGGTATTTGGACCTTGGTACTTAATAGGATTGACTATTTTGAATTGCTTCATAGGCAAAAAGTTTATTGTACTTGATAATTGCATGTTTTGCTATAGGGCTTCAGCCTTCAGAGACTAAGAATCATGTGTTTTTTGCATTCTGAGGTGGCTTTAATGCTTTGTAATAACTGTTTGCCCTCTTTGGGAAGTGTCGGATCTGCTCACCCAATCTTGAGGCACTTTTTATTCCCTGGTTATTTGAGGGCTATTTCAGAGATAAAGATCATAAATGTTGTGGAGAGGGTTGTTCGATTATGGCTAGAATGTTATGCTAGAATTTTTTTAATCAGCCTGTTAGCATACTCATATTATTTTTGATAGAATGCTATATATGGTCTCTTTATGGGCTAAGGCACATGGGTTTATTTGGGGATTGCCTTTATCTATTCTGCAAAGAAACTGGGAGGCCATATAAGCAACCTCTTCTGCTGTTCTTTTCTTTCTTGATTTTGTTTATTTTCTTGAGAATATGTCCTTTTCCTGTCTTTTGGAATCTCTTTCCTTCTCAATATTATATTCTTTTTCTGTAAAAAATATTGAAATATTTACACTTATAGCCTACTTGCCTTTAATTGATGAGAAGTGCCTGGTTGATCATATTTTAACATAAGAATAATCAGTGATATATCTAATTCGTATCTATCTTGAACAGGTTTAATTTAACTTTCACTTTTGCCTTCATTGTCGGACCAATGCCTTCTGCCACCTATCCTCAGTGGCAGGAGAAGGCTAGTGGTTTCTTTTCTTCCTCTGGTATAATGAGTTCACTGCAGATTTTTTCAATTACCCTCTTCTTTTTGTTTCTTTTTCCTTCACTTTGTGCATGGTGCATGACTGATTAATGTATCAATAAAGGGGTGAAACTTAAAGAAGCAGGACAAACAGCTGGAACATTTGTTGGAGAAGTTGCGAAAGATGCAAAAGGTAATGTTGCTGATGTGGCTGAACGAGTTGGGTCAATATTCAAAAGTCGATGGGCACTTCTTCAGCAGCCATCAACAAGGCATGCTGTACAGGAACGTCTCATATCTGCTGCTGCTACAACTGCCACATTGATGAGGAAAGGCCTTTCTGAGACAAAGGACAAGGTTGCTGTTGGGAAGATAAAAGTAGAAGAGGTATATAACCTGAAAAGTTTTTCTCAAACGTCTTTGAGTGTTGTATTTCTCATTTTGTATATTTGAATGTAAAAATTGAATTTCTGGAGAGAGTTTGTGACAGTTATCAGCTACTGTCAATGATTTGAACAGATCTCTGAGGTGATTGTAAAGTTATCTAAGGTATCTGATTAATTTTTACCTGTTTAGTTGTGTTTCTAGCTTAAAGTGCTGGTTGGCACTCCATCAAGACCCAAGATACAGTTGGTATCTGTAAGAAGAAGCTACTTTTATATCAAAACGTTTTGAAAATAATGAGAGACAGATATTAATTCTTTTTTTCTCAAGAAATATTTTTTATTATTTGAATCTCTGACTAAGATATGATTCTGTTCTGCTGTATTATATTACCTTTTATTTTGTAAGAGAGGACCTAATTACCTTATTTCATGAGAGGATAGCACTTTAGTTTCTTATGAAAAGCATACAGGTTGTGCGATTAAAAGTGATGTTGAAGATATATGCTTTCTAGTAGTTGATGATTTTTCATACTTTCCTTACATCTTTTAATAGAATGCTTCTCTGAAAGCTATAATTTCTCAAGAAACATGGAATTATACAGCAAGGACATTTGATACTTGATATTCTGTTATTGGCAATGGTCACCTGAGTTCAGATCAATTTCTTTCACTCTTAGATTACCCTTGTAGATGAATTTAGAAAAACTGACACCTCTGGGTTGCTGAATACCTTTCAGGTGGCAAAAAAGACATCACAGAAAAGTAAGAATATCTTGACTGATATTGAGCGCTGGCAGAAGGTTTGCATTTCTGCGAATGCTACTCAAGTGTACTTTAATAAAATACTTTCTTTAACACAGTTACAATTTTCTAAACATCCTTTTCCATTTTTGAAAACTAATGCAGGGAGTTGCCAGCACTGATGGTAAGTTTCTTGGACTTTAACCATCCATCTAACTAGACAGAAACTGATTATGAGGAAGGTCCTGTTTCTGCTCCTGCTCCTCAAAAAGAGACCCCCTTCTGTATTTTTACATATTTTCCAAATGGTTTGACTTTAGCGGTAACTTAATTATACTTTAAGCTGCAATTTCCTAGTCAATACACCAAGCAGTAAAGTTTGCTTAGCAGGCATAGTTAGCTGCACTAAATTTTTCCTTTCCATTTTTTTTGTGACTTTGGTTTCTGATATTAGTATCACATGATCTTGTGAAACTCTTGCAATTGAAACTTATATCGTGAAATGTGTTGGCTCCTATAGTTTCTTATGTTATTTAACACCAATTTTTTGCTTGTAATCTATGAGCTTAACATATTTTCCTTCTTTTCATATATGATATTAGTATCACCTGATCTTGTGAAACTCTTGCAATTGCAACTTATATCCTGAATTGCGTTGGTTTCTATAGTTTCTTACATTATTTAGCCCCAATGTTTTGCTTGTAATCTATGATCTTAACATGTTTTCCTTGTTTACATCTGCTGCTTTGGTTTGATATATGATATCGTGTTGCTTTTTCCTTGATGTTAGGGAAGAAGCATTACTTCATGGTTTTTGACCCATCTTTTATATCAAGGTGCAGAGTGAATCATTCTACTAAATACAATCGAAATTACAGCAAATTATCATTTGGCTTGCTCTGAGGAAGAGCAGTATTAGATGATTAGCTCTTTCATTTGCATCAGCTGTTTGAATTTCAAATCAAATTAATTTTACCAAAATTTTCTTTCATTGATCATCAACTAGTTTGGATTGATTTATATTTATGCTACATGCATGAGCAGTGTTTACTTTGGCTTTAAGGTTTGATGTTTTAACTTGTTGATGTCCAAAGAGTAGTGTGGTTTCAGCTCATTTCCCCTTAGTGTCAGACTCAAGCCATAAGATCTTGATCTCTTTAAAAATTTGTTAGCAAAGAGATATAACTTTCTAGTACCTTTGACCAGAGTGTTGTGCTGCTGCATGCTTGGTCAGAATGTTAGAAATAGTTTTTTCAGCTGGGAATTCAGAGAATTGAGCATATGTTAAATTTTTATGTTAGATTGGAATGTCTAATCACGAGCTTTTCAATTATCCTCAGTATTTGGGGTTCCAGTTGAGGTTACTGTCCAGCGACAAGAATCAAGCAGGCCTGTTCCTCATATTTTGATCAGATGTGCAGATTATCTCATTTTATCAGGTGAGAACTAGATGAAGTGAACACTACTGTTTGGATATACTATCCAAGAAGAATAATTTTTCCTTTTATGAATTTGATTTTCAGGATTAAATTCACAGTACCTGTTTAAAGCTGAAGGAGATAAACGAGTCATTGAGCAATTGGTTTCTGCGTATAATGAAGGTATCTCATCCTTCTTAGTTTTAGGATTGACTTTCGCCTGTATGTGATGAAATTGTAATTTTTATTGCAGATGCAAGTGCGTCATTGCCTGAGGGTTTAAATCCAGTTGACGTGGCAGCTTTAGCCAAATATTACCTTGCAAGCCTCCCTGAACCACTAACAACATTTGAACTTTATAATGAGATACGGGATTCTCGTTCTAGTGTGCATGCAATGAGAAACACGCTTAAGAAGCTGCCAACTGTAAACTACATGACATTGGAGTTTATAACTGCACTGTTGCTTCGTGTTAGCCAGAAGTCGCTTCTTAACAAGGTAAGATATTTTTTCCTAAATGTCCTTTCCTCACCATCTGAGCACCTCTCTCCCCCTTTCCCCCTCTCTCCTCCAACCCCCAAATTCCACACATCCACTACATATGGATTTGGACGTTGCCTAAATGCTTGAGGCCTGGTTGTTGCATATATCTTCTTGTCAGTTTTTAATCTTATGTCTTTTTCTTTTTTTTTTTTCCAGTCTATATTTTCTTCTGTTACTACATGGGCCTTGCATGGCTTGTGTGACCATAGCTTTTCTATGACAGTCACCTTGTTATCATCCATAACCTGTTTTAACTTGGTAAATAAATGCACAGGTTAAATTGCCGTTTACTTTTTCTTGCATGATGGATTTGCTGCTTCTTTCTTAAGATATTCATATGCTCTGTTTTGAAAATGTTTTAATGTAGGAGCATGTGGAAGAATTCTTGTTTGATTGATCATGTTTTATCCTCGTTTCTAATGTGCCACGGATAACTTGGCTCTTCAAGTTCTGTGGAGGATTTAGAGGAGTCTCTTTTGTCTCAGTTGTCTTGCCATGTATTGAGAGACCCTACTGATTTAGTACAGACGAGTACCTGAAAAACATTTTTATGTTGTTTTTTCCTTTCTGCAGATGGATGCTCACAGTCTTGCTATGGAAATAGGCCCTGTGATTATGTGGCGGGATGGACAGAAGCCAGAATCATACAGGCAATATTGGAGACATTCATCCAAAAGTCCTAAGAAAAGCATGGATATGACACCTGTTTCTCCATGGGACATGCTTGCTGGTGAGTTATCCTTTAAACATGTACTTAGATTCTTGTCCGTTGCACTGATATAATTTTTATAATTGTATAAAAGATAATATAGATATAATATTTGTGTTAACAAAATTATATAAAAATAAAGAAATTTTTAATAAAAATATAAAAAATTATCAGATCTTAATTATCTGCAAAATAAATGAAATATAAGAAAAAAATATATAACTAAAAGATTATATAATGTATAATTTTAGAGTTTGTAATTAACTAAAAAAAAACAACTTAAAAATATAATTATAGTCAAAAAAATTTTTATATAAAATATTTAAATAGATAATCATTATTTATATTATCAAATTAATCTTATTTTAATACATTTAGAATTATTTTTATATTATAAAAATAAACAGATAATTATTATGTATATTATTATATTAAATGTTAATTATTGCAAAAAAAAATCTCCTCTTATGTCTGCAGAAGAAGGCGAAGATATGGATGCTTCCTCAGCCATTCCCTTGGATGATGACATACCCATTGATTTTGGAGCAATAGAGGTAGTTCAGTGTCTTATAGAGCATCACAATGCAATATTTACGGATGCAAACGAGACCATATGGAGATGAAGCTGATCAAAGTCACATCGAATTTAGAGGTGGACAGTATGGGCAACTGCTTCACAAAGAGTTCTAAATTTACTTAAAGATGGCCAGTGACCAATTTACCATTTACAGAATGCTTTCTTAACCAAAACTTGGCGAGTGAATGGATGTGGTTGTGTAAATTTTAGTGACTAGGGAGTTGTATAAATCAATATCTCTATTTGATAAGATGTTGATTTTTTGTCTTAAATTGTCTGCTTTGGGAAAAAGGTATTCTGCTTGGTGCAACAAGATTTATGTAGTCTTGGACGCTTGTTCTGCATTTTCCCGAGCAATTTTCTTTTTTGGGGTCATTTCTTCATTCATCTTTCTTTGATCAGTAGCATCCTGTTTGTTAGGGTGCAAAGACAAGAAAAACTGGATTTAACTGTTAAAGTCACTAACTTGCGGACTATTATAATTAAAGGAAATGATACATTAGAGTCGACCAAATTTGAAAAACAGGCTGATGTCAGAGTAATTTGACAAATAGATTAGGCAATTTTAATGGTCAACCAAATTATGGGTTGTGATCCCAAGTTTTCGGCATGTGGGAAAATAAAAGCAAGTAGAAACAAAATTACTTTCCACTTGTCTGTGTCTGGATCTGTTTGCCTTGGAGCAGGAAGGGAAGAAGACCCAGATCAGAGAGGAGAGGACATCAATGGATGATGAGATTGAGACGAGGCGTTTAAATAATTGGGTGTCCGAACCTCATGAAAAGCTCCGAGAGGGAATCGCTTCGCTTCTTTCTCGGTGGATTGGTCTTCAAATGGCTGTCGAGAACCAGTGGGGCGGCCAAGACTCCGTCCACAAGTCCCACCAGCTTGGTGCCGATATCTTTTGTTGGATCTCACAGTCTAAAGGTTCTTCTTAAATATCACTCCGTCCCTTTTATGTTTCTTGATACATTCTTCACATAAATATATGCTGGTAATTTGCAGGACGACTTCATTTAGAAGATATTGAGAATTTGCTCCATGAAACCATGCTGTTTTCTTTCAACACAGAGATTGAGGATGGCAGCATTGAGGAGGTATTTATCTTGTTATCCATTTTGATCGGGTGTTGTGTTTGTGTTTGATCTAATTAAGCATTTTATAACTAAACAGGTTGCCGAACAATTGATGATTATGCATGAAGAATACATGCATGCAACTTATTAGACTATATACAAATCATGCATGCATCACCGAAACTCATGTCATGTCTCGCTCAGAGTGCTTCCTTTTGATGCACCAGCCAAAGGTAAACTTAGACAGTTAATGCCATTGCCTTGAAAATGCTTTCTATATATATATATATATATATATATGTTCGTCCATTGTGTAAAATATATATTAATTGTAAAAAAAAAAAAAAAAAAAAAAAACCAAGTATTTAAACTTGTGTGGAGTATTTAAGAAATTTATTAAGCATTTTTATTTATATATATTTTTTCAGGTAGTTTCCAAGAAGATTAAAAATGGTTTGATGCTTATATATGAATTTTAAGGCAAATTGTCAACCATTATGTCACAAAGTGTTTTAAAATGTATATAAAGGCCCAAAAATTGCATCCTTAAATATTTGTTAGACCGCAGCTTCTATCTTTTTTTAAAAAATACATAATATAGCTCAAACTTATAATATTTTATAAATTTATAATATTTGTTGGTACATTGTTATTATATAGATAGAGAACTAATGATAACTTAATTAATTTAACCATCATCATATTTATTAAAGTAACCAAAATTATTTAATTAAAAATACTCTGCTGAAATTAAAATTAGTTAATTACATATAAATAATACTAAAACTGATATGCTGTTTCAATTATATTAAATATTCTACAGAAATTGAAGTCCATTAATTGTAAATTATATTAAAACTAAAATTTACCAACTAAAAATTTGCTATCTAAATAAAAAAATTGGGTGATTAAAAGTTACAGTGAAAGAGGATGTCGAACACGTAGTGTTGGGCGTGTGGCGCACGCTGTCGAAGAAGAAGAAGAATAAGAAGAAGAAGAAGAAAAAGAAAAAAAAAGAAAAAGAAAAAGAAAAGAAAAAGAGGAAGGAAGCACGGCGTGCGGTGTGTGTGACTGGAAAGGCAAAATCGTGTGTGGTGCTAAGCTCGCGGCGCGTGATGTTGGACGTGCGATGCGTGACATGCAGTGCTGGTGGCGCGGCGCACGGTGCTGGGTGTTCAGTGTGCGGCGCGCAGCGTTGGGTGCACGCACACGGTGCTGGGTGCATAACATGGGATGCGCGGTGCTTGGCGCGCGACGCATGTTGCTGAGGAAGAAGAAGCAAAGCACGTGTTGGGTGGAGTTGATCCACATGAAGCAGACGACGCAGCGTTCTAGATCTGTTCAAAGATTCGTGCGAGGCCAAAAATCAGGGAACCATTGAGAGAGACCGAAACCGCACTCTTTCGAATAGAAAGTCCGAATTCAACACCGATTTTGATAAATTTTCTTTCACGTTACATTCGGTTATTACTTTAAATTAAATACTTAATCATATGTATAAAAATTTTAGGAAAATTGGGAATATGAAACTGAAAAGGGAGCCGACTGTATGGAACCAAAGTCGTGCAAAAGCTTTGCAATTTCTTCTTTCGTTGAAGATTCTGGTAAGAATTAAATTAGTTTTCATTAAGGGATTTCATGTTTTCATAAAATGATTTATTGATTTTAAAATGATTAATTTAAAAACTTTGATGCATGATTTAAGTGTTGTCTTGAAAAGTATTTTGCAAAGTTTCATATGTATGTGAGTGAGTGTGTATTGAGCGTCGGTATTGTATAGGGTATATGTATAATGATATAGATACAAACATGTCTGTGCGTGAATGAATAGGTAAAGATGTAGTATACATAGGTTGTTGTTTGTTTAAAGTATAGGATTTCATGTATAAAAAGTAAATGGATTCTAGGGCATATTTACATATGTAGCTATATATATATGAATATGTAATATATTGATACATATGAAACTATACGAAAATATAAATAGATATATATATATGTATGTTCATATGAGCGTAAATAGTCCTACGCATTGAATCTGTATATGTACAGGTATAAAATAATATAGGTAGTTACGTAGGTGTAAAAACTGCTTATATACATATTTGAAGTGGGAATATAGATGTATGTATTTTGTATAAGTGGTATGTTAAATCATAATTAGATTAAATATGTATATTGTAAGAAAGTATATACATGTAGATAAATAGAATAGGTTTATGGTTAAATATAATGGTAACAAGATAAATTTAAGTAAGCAATGTGTGTAGATATGGTCTGCGATTGCTTATTGCTTACGTAATACGTTGGGTGTATGTTTAATACGATGTAAACTGTATATGTTGTGTAATATTCGGACCCAGAATTTGGCGCAGAATAATTTTTCTTATTTACAAAATATATAAATAACTAAAAAAATTTATTTTAATTTAAATTTTATTAAATTTCTGAGAAAAAATGAATTAAGGACAAAATTGAAAGCAATTTTGGAGAAAATGGGTGAAATTAAGAATAAAAGAGGTGTTTTTGAAAGAAAAATTAAAAATATGAGTAAAATCACAAAAAAGAGAAGTTTGGTCACGTAAGACAGCTCAGTCAGCAGCTACGACAAACTAGAGCACACCGCATAGCAACACACTTACAACGGCATCACACGGGAGGTCACGTGGGCGATTCGCGTGCCTGGCGATCCGACGATCCAGATCACATCCCGTGTGCACGAACAGCCTAAATGCATTTTCTCTTCAGGTGCAATCGGACATTTGAGGTTAATCGCGATGGACGGTCCAGATTCGTCCACGCGATCAGCCTAAACGAAAAATTATCAAACGGTCCTCCTCGCTTCACGTTGACTCAAATAAGTGGCCTGGATCGAATAGAGAAGAGTATTTAAACTCTTATTCACAAAAAATCAAAACCCTAGCTGACAGAGGAGTGATCGGAGAAGAAGAAGAATGGCGGCTGGGGAAAGGACCAGACATCAGAGAAGGAGGCTAACCACCGTCGCCACCACACCAGAGCCACTGTCGACACCAAAACAGGTATTATTTTCCCCTTCTCGCTCGAAATTCAATCCTGAGTCTCTTTATACCTATATTAGAGCTAAAAGATCAACGGATGAGCCAAAAAATACGAGCAAAGCTCGATCGAGCTGTTGCGGTCAAAACCCGAAACCTTCTCTAATGACTCCCTTTCTGTTTTTATTTCATGTGCTTTTTTGATCATCGTGTTCACTATCTTTTTATAAAACAGATTAGCCGAAGAGGAACCCCAACTGCGAAGGAGAACCAGTGGAGTTGTTGCACCCGGAGACCCCTCCCTCCTAGTACGTTTCAGTCTTTTGCCTTTTTCGACCAATTGAGGCTTCCTGACCCATTGTTTTGCAGGTTTACGCGTAAAACTGACCAAAACTGGCCTAACATGGTCGAAAACGGCAAGACCGAGGCGAACTGCCTCCATGGGTGGCGGAGTCAGCGCCACAGCATAGCGGTGCCGGCATGCCGAAACCCCAAAATTTGCTAGAAAGGTTTTAAAACGCATATTTTAGCCTTTTGGGCTATTTTTGGATACTTGACCGATGTTTTGACTTCCACAAAAAAAAATTCAAGAAACTCGAAAACCGATAGGAGGCGCAGTAAATAGTATGGTATTTCGAACACTGATTCGGGGTAAGAATCCCTCTCACTTTTTTCTGTTACGATAAATTGAAGTTTAATAATTAATAATGTTGTATTTCGTAAAAATTAGAAAAGTCTAAAATTAATTACAGGTCACTAGTGGAGGCGGAATCAGTCAGTGCATATTTGCCCTAGTTACTGTTTATTTTTTCCTATACTGCCTAAAGTGTTTATTATTATATTCTGTGCGTTAAATTGTCAGTTTTAATTGTCTTCTCAGTTATTTAATTTACCTAACTGCATAGCCTTATTTATTAGTTCGTTTTGCAATAGATGTTCCAATTATGACCTTTTGATTTATGTACCATCTCTTTGCATGACTTACTGTTGATTTGTAAATATGAAATATTGATATATAATTTGGCGATTGATTAATGGTGTGAATTGGTATATGAGAGGTTTTCTGGGTACTCTAGGAAATGGTGGACGGACCCGGTACATAGGAAAAACTCTACCATAGGCATTTTCTCAGTTGGATGAGACTGAGAAGTCTCATACCAGAAGGGTTTGAGAAATATAGTTCACACTCATACCAGAAGAGATATCGAGCCGATAGTATATTTGATGTCCATTACTGAACGAGGTATGAGAACGACCAGTTAAATGATAAATTGGTTATTGGGTTCACGCGCAGGAGGACATCCCTATGGATCCCCAAAAGTACTGGTAAACAGGTAAAAAAATAAATTGCTATTCTTGCTCACTGGATATGAAATCACAATGTTATTTGAGTTATTGTCCTTATAGGTCAATTTTGAAAATCCATAATGGTAAATATGAAACTTGCATGGTTTTATATTAAATGAATTTACCTAAACTAATGGCTTCATTAGCTATTTTATAATTTTTACTAACCTTAGATTTTTCGTATCAGTTATTAGTGTGATATTCTTAATAGGGTAGTGTAGTTCATTCCCTTAATTAACTATTTCATTTCAAGAAAACAAAGATCCAGATTTTGAACAGTAGGAGGGTTGCGAGTAAATATTACCTCTCGAACCCCATCAAAGTTATCAGTGGAGGTTAACTCTATAGGATTTCAGTTTTATTTTTATTTCTATTATTTAAAATTTTTTTAAAGAACATTTCCATAACCCTATTGGACATCTTAATTTACTGTGTAAGGAATGTAAAATCTAATTATTATTTGTTTCCATTATTTTAATATATATTCCTTCCCTTAAGGTTTCAGACCTTTATATGTTGGACATATATGTATGCATATGATTGTTTACCCAAATAATTTTATGTGAGTAGTTTGTAGTTATGTATACTCGTTATGGGTGGAATGAGTGCGCATCTCAGTTGTGTAAATAGGTGTGTGAGAGTGATGAGATTGGTTGTTGGCTGTGTGAGTGAGAATATAAATTGATACCATTCCTAAATGTGAATTTTCCTTCAAAAATATAAATATAATATTTGGGTAGAAAAAGAATAAAATATCAAGAATGTTTGGGTTTTTAAATTGGGCTATGAAATAGAAACAATCTTTGAAGAAGAAAA